AATTTCTTTAATCATTGATTCTACATGTATTCCAAATGTTTTAATCTTCCTTAGAAACACCACTCTTGCATTGGAATCTCTATTCTCTGCACTTCATGTGTTTTTTTCTCTCACTGTTCCCATCTCATTATCCTCTACTTACACGTTTAAGATCATCTCAAGTTTATTCATTACAGTATTTGATGTTCTGCAGTGTCAGTTTTCCTCCTTGTTGCCTTTCACTTTGATATAGTATTTTAAATTTCCCTGTAGTCCTTCTTTATTTTATATATTTGTTTTTTATCTTAGAGGTTCTTCTATACTTATGGACTTCTCTCATTTTATTGATTTCAGGTTTTCTGTCATGCTACTGAGGACACTAATTCTTTTGAAAATTTCTTTTGGAGACCAAAATAGTTCATTTTTAGGGCTATAGGATTCTGAGTCTTTACAATGATATTCCTTTCTTTGGATTACAATTTCTTCTTATTTCCCTACACAGGTCTACTTAATTTATTTTTTCTTGGGCAGCGATATCCAAACATATTTGTATATCAATAATTGGGACTTGTGTATTACTATTTGTACTCCATTTTTATAATGGCCAAATTCTCTCTTCTTACATAATTAGCTGGAGTTCATTTTTGCACATAGCTGAGTTCATTTCTGTTTCTAGCAGATATTTCTCTGTTACCACACTGTTCTTCTGAGATTAAATCAAATTCTACTGCTTGGATTTTTAACTGTGAACCTATGGAGTATCTTTAGTTTCTGGCATTCACTTCTGTCAGATTTTGTCAACATCTTTCACACCTTACTTAGAGAAACTAAATCCTGTGCTTCTTATTACTTGTCTGAACCTATGAATAAATGTGGAAAGCTGGGGAGGAGGATGGATGCGAGTGCATGTGGGAACCTCAAAGTGCAGCACTCCTACAACAAAAGGATGGTTTTTGAGTTTTCTGGGTGACAAAGATAACATCTCTAAGCTGTCCTATCTCAGATAAAGGGTCACCAGGTGTTTTCCTATCTGTTGTCATAAGCAGTTGAATTCTACTTGCCCTATAGTTAATTCTTGCACATTTGACTAACAGGTTGTCTACCAGCTTCAATTTCAAGTTTTGTGTGTTTTCATTTTTTTCTGTGGCTTCCTAGGGACGTTATAGGTGAGTCAATATTCTGTTTCATAGATAGCCAGCCAATTTCAGTTCAAACCAATATGTTAAGTAAATGTTTTGAAGTGGAAATACAAAGTTGAGCATACAGTATGATTTCATGCACAGAAAACACAGAAAACAAAAAGATGAGAATGAAACAGGATGAAGAGTTTTCTCAAATCTTTTACATATTTTATAATGACTATAATATTTATAGTAGAAAAGAAACACTTGAATTTTTTAAATACACAGGAATCCTCCTAAGGATCTCATCTTGAAGCAAATGATTCTTAGTGGGTTTTAGGGGAAACTGTAAATGTTGCTTAGGATTACTTGGGTTATTTATAGAATTTTCTTCCCAGCAGCATTTTTTGGGCTTAAGGTTAAGCTTTGATTAAAGCTTCTGTTAACTAAATGAACAGAATTATAAAGTTTCTCTTCTGTGCTTATTGTGAAGATGTGAATTCTGATCAAATCGCCTATAATACTCATGGCATTTATGGGGTTTCTCTCCTGTGTGGACTCTTTGATGAATTCGAAGAGCTGAGCTATGACTGAAACCCTTACCACACTTAGCACATTGATAAGGCTTCTCTCCTGTGTGGACCCTCTGATGAATGTGAAGATTAGAGCTGTGACTGAAGCTCTTTCCACAATCATCACATTTATAGGGCTTTTCTCCTGTATGCACTCTCTGATGAATGAGAAGATGTGAACGCTGACTGAATCCCTTACCACACTGTTCACATTTATAGGGTTTCTCTCCAGTATGTACTCTTTGATGCGTGTGAAGCTTTGAACTCTTGCTGAAACCCTTCCCACATTCATGACAAGTATAGGGTTTCTCCCCTGTATGTACCCTCTGATGAATGCGAAGATCGGAGCTGTGACTGAAGTCCTTCCCACAGTCGTCACATTTATAAGGCTTCTCTCCTGTGTGCACTCTCTGATGAATTTGAAGATTTGAGCGCTGGGTAAAGCCCTTACCACAGTCATCACATTTATAGGACTTCTCTCCTGTGTGGACTAGCTGATGAATTCGAAGATTTGAGCTCTGACTGAAGCCTTTACCACACTCATCACATTTATATGGTTTCTCTCCTGTGTGGACTCTCTGATGAACATGAAGTACTGAACTCCGACTAAAACTCTTACCACACTGATGGCACTTAAAAGGCTTCTCTCCTATGTGAAGTCTCTGGTGAATGTGAAGTAATGGGTTTCTACTGAGGTCCTTAACACACTCAAATTCATAGAGTTTCTCTTCTGTATGGGCTCTTTGATGATTGTGAAAAGTAGAGATCTGACTGAAGCTCTTACCACATATATTACATATATAAGGAGGAACCTTCCCTGTGTGGACTCTCTGATGAAAGTGAGCACCTAAACTCTGACTAAAGTTACTGTCAACTTCATCACATCCGTGCAGCCTCTTACCTATGTGGAATCTTGGATGTCTGTATAAGTCTGATCCTTGAGAGAAACATGCTGTGCTGATGGAGCATTGATAGAACTTTTCTCCAAGTTGATTTTTTTTATGGAGAACACACTGTGAGTTCCAATAATAAATTTCTTCACATTTACTACATCCACAGTATTTCTCTTCCAAAGGGTCTTTCAGTAGATCATTTTGGCATATCTCCTCAATGTACTCTGGAAGGGTGTCCTTTATTGGGACATAAGAATGCTGAACTATGAGCTTCTGTTCTTTTTCCATGAAGAGATTTTTCCTGGATATTCCAAGACGGTTTCTGTTTCCTTGAAAACCATGTGACTCACTCATGTAGATTTCTCTACCATAGTGTTGAGACTGTTTTGTTTCTAAGGGCTGCCAAGGTATAAGCTTTGTATATTTTAAGTTCCTGGGACTTTTGCCTTCAAAAGCCAGTTCATAGTCCCCACAGCCTGGTACTGGTGTGGAGAGTATTAACCATTCTTGATAATGAGAAAAGTCTTGTTGCTTTAGGCCTTTGGAATCTATCCCTTGAGTGCTTTCTACATAGCTTCGATTCTCATGTATCTGAGTGCTCGCTTTCCTCCAACCTCGCCAGCAGGAA